CGAGGCGGGCCTCGGGGGCGGGGAGGTGGTCGTCGGCGTCCCGGGAAGGGCAGCGGGTGTCCCCAGCGCGGGGTTTGGGCTGGTCCTGCCGGGCGTCGGGGAGCGGCGCGGCCTGTCAGGAGTTGCACGGAAGTGGTTTGGGTGTAAATCTGAAACGTGGTAAATTAGTAGTGTTTTTATTCTTGTGTTTTGACTGCTTAGGGCAGCTGGTGACTTAATTTTTACGGAGAAGGCAAAAGTATTTCCCTCTCCTTTCTGTTTCGCCATCTGCCTGGAGTTCAGTCAAATTAAAGCCAAATGGGAAAACCCTGCTCTTTGGAAAAAGTGTCTCCTCTGCTACGTTTTCAGGGGCATTCACTAATTCTGTTATGCTTCCTTTGAGTCCAAACTAATAAGCTTTTTGTCTGACTTTCAGGAGCCGAAGACCTACGGGTTCCCAGCTGGAAGTCTAAAGACTCAGCATTTATTAGAATTAAATGAAAAATGCTTTGTATTTTACTCCTATATGCGAACCCTTAGAAAAAAAAATTCAAGTCATGGTAACTGATAGACGTGACTGCATTTATCTCCTTTCCTGTGTATATAATCCTGAGATTGTCATTATTGCTTGCTAAATATACACTATTATACGCCACTTAAAATTTTGCAGCTGTGGAGTGAGCTAAAAAGCTCACTCATGCTATTTCCAGTCTGCAGCTGTAGTGCTTACAATTTGGCTTTCCGATTCTTCTCTGCTTGGTGGTCATCTTTCTGAATTTCTCATGCTTCTTCTTCCTCCTCTTGTCAGTTCTCACTCGCTCCCCCAGTGTGCTCTGTGCCGTTGCTGTCTTGCAAGGCTTGAGAGTACAGGGCTCTGTTTTCCAGAGCCTCGTGCTCTTTCATGTAGAGCGATGCTCGTACTGGGTCAGTAGGAAGCTGAAGGGGATCTGATTTGAGTTACAGATGTGTTTTAAGCTGTAATAAAATGTGCGGGAAAGTGACAGTGATGTTGAAAACATTCTCTGCTCTTCCCTGTACGTTGCACTTCAAGACGGTTTTACTCGTAGTGCCTCTAAGCACTGCGATTTGTGCCGCTTTATACGGCGCCCAGTAAGTTACGCTTTTTGTTGTCGATGCTGCGGTAAGTACTGGTGGTAGCTGTCTGTATGCTTTTGCCGGTTGCCGTCTTTGGTAGAGGAGTCTACACGGAATTTGTGTTGGAAATGCACCTGGGGGGAAATGGGATAGTGTTTGTTATGTTGTGTGCTAGTGCTGAATGGGTGGAGAAGACATTTACCTGAGCCTGAAGGTGATGTCTCTGACTTCAGGAAGGCTTAGAGGAAGACTCGCTGGCTTGTTGGTGCCCTGAGTGCTCCTCTAAGAGAGTCTCAAACCATAACTTGCTACTTGCTGTTGTGACAAAAGCTTGGCTTTGATTTCCTTACAGCTTTACTTTGAAACTTCCTAGTGTGTAGTGTAAATATATGCATAAAACCAAATCAGTGTCTATTAGCTCTGCGTGATTATCTTATGTTGGCTGTGTTACACAACAAACACTTCATATCCGGACAGACTGGAATATGTTTCTAAACCAGAGCGTGGCTGGAGAGAACCTGGGTGAAAGGATTTTTGTAGAGGAGCGGTCTAGCAACTACAGCAAGGCGCTGGGTTCTGTCCCTGGCCTGCCGCTGCTTTACGGTGTGACTTCGGGCAAGCTGTCCAACCTCTTCCTGTCTTCAGCCTCCCCATCCTGAAATGTGGTTAAAAGTTAACATAAAAAAAAGAGTTGGGACCTTTCATTTGAAAATGCTATAGAAGGGGAAAACTATTCCCTTGATGTTCCTTAGGAGAAACGGGCTCAGGGAAGACCACTCAGATCCCTCAGTACCTCTACGAAGCAGGAATTGGCCGCCAAGGCATCATTGCTGTGACCCAGCCTCGCAGAGTAGCAGCTATATCCTTAGCTACCAGAGTCTCGGATGAGAAGAAGACAGAGCTGGGCAAACTGGTAGGTTGCTTTACAAAGTCTTTAGAGAGTTGGTTTAGTACTGCAGTGCCAATGGGACTGTATCAGGGCTTAATGGGCAAGATAAAAAACAGCCACTGAGTAATAGGTAGTCTTCATTTAATAATATGCCTGAGTGGAAAAAAAAAAAGGCTTTTTACCTGCTTCTGGGGCTCGGGGGGGGGCACGTGTGACTCTGTCTCTGTGGTGTTGTACTTGATTATTATCTGTGTTCCTCCATTTGAAAAAATACTGGTTAACGAATAAAACAAAAAATATTGCGCACTCTTCCATTGCTCCTTGTATCAAAAGTCACTGTCAAGGAGAGCAGAGTGCTGAATCTGTAGATCTGTGAATCTGTGGGAGAAAAGTGGAGGAGAAGGACTTCCCCTACATAAAGTCTTTGGAGAATGTGGAGTAGTTTCTAGCAGGGGAGGAAGGAGAGGAAACTTGGAGCATTTGTGATGAACTTCTAGTTGGGAAAAGGCTAACTGGGTTACAATGTTGGGAGCTTCCTTTAGGTGGATTATTAGATTTGTAAGGCTAACTGCTCGCAGACTGCAAATGCACCATTACGCTTTCCAGAGTCTCCTTGGAGTTGGCTCTGTCCGACGCCTTGACCAGAGTGCTTTGTAGTCCGTCCTTGTGGTACGATGGCAATGAGAAACGCAAGTAACTCTGTGCTTGTACTTTCTGTAACGATCACTTCCATAGGTCGGCTATACTGTACGCTTCGATGATCTTACATCTGATGAAACTAGAATCAAGTTTTTAACAGATGGAATGCTGCTTCGCGAAGCTATTGGGGACCCTATGCTGCGGAAGTACAGTGTTGTCATCCTGGATGAAGCCCACGAGAGGACGATCCATACTGATGTACTCTTTGGAGTGGTGAAAGCTGCACAAAAGAAACGAAAGGAACTGGGCAAACTGCCACTAAAAGTATGTGCATCTGGGATGGCAGCAAAGGGCAGGGATGGGGCCTGACCCTGAGCGCTATGGGTTTTTCCTGGGGTTTTCCAAAGTGTTTGAAATGTCAGCCTTGACTATTTTCCTGTTCCTAAAAAGCCCCTTTAAATCTGAATAGAACTTACGACGTGTGGGCCTGATATGACACATCTGAACAAGGTATCTGGTCACCTCCACGTTGCCTTTTTTCGTAAGAGCCCCTTGGGTGTGAGCTATAGACTAGAGACATTGTTTGGGGCGGTTTTGGTGCTGTTGCTGAGAGCACCCTGGATACAGGAGCTCTCTGTCTGATACGACAGCTGTATGACATGCTCACGCTGGGGAAGGAGATTGCGCATGTGTGTCAGGTGCACAAGAATTTATGTGAGTGCATGATGCAGTGTGTGAGAGCATGTTGGTTTTGATGGGGAAGGCATGCAGGGGACTGGTAGGGTCCTAGCACTGCGTCGTTCAACGGACCATTGTGCAGCCTAACTTTGTGGGTACTCAGGTCTGTTTAGTAAATGTTGGAAGAGAATTTTAACATGTCTTCGCTCATTTTATCGTACCAACATGTTATGCTTGTGTGATACCAAAGCTGATGGCTTTAACCGGAAGAGAATTTTAACACATCTTCGCTCATTTTATCTTACCAACATGTTGTGTGATACCAAAGCTGATGGCTTTAACAAGGAAAGATCACTCTCTTCTGTCCCAAACTCTGTGCTTTTTGCTGTTCTGAGCATATATCAGTCTCAGGAAGGTGACTTTTGGCTAGTCCTGACTGGTAAGTGTCCTGCTGGGTCTAAACTGCAGTGCTAACCCATCTTATGTGCACATTGAAGGTGATTATCATGTCAGCTACGATGGATGTTGACCAGTTCTCCCAGTACTTCAATGGAGCTCCTGTTCTCTATTTAGAAGGCCGGCAACATCCCATTCAGATCTTTTACACCAAACAGCCTCAGAGTGATTACCTCCAAGCAGCACTGGTGTCAGTCTTCCAAATCCACCAGGTATGGCAGTCTCGTCAGGTTTCTGCCTCCCGGGGGCCATGGATTGTTGGTCGGGGGGGCTCACAGGTTGCTGTGGCAGAAGACATGGCTTGAGCTTGATGCTGCCAAATCAGAGATGTCCCTGAGGTGCTCTGCTGCATCCTCCGGAAAAAGTGGATACTTGGGGAGCGTGCTGGGTTAGTGAGTTGGATTGGCTCAAGGGAGGGGTTGACAAATGCCGGTGTTATTCCAAAAGTGGAAAGAAAGATTGGAAGTGGTCAACCGTAAAGAGCCTTGGCTTGCAGTGGGAAATGCAGGCATAAGCTAACAGTAGCGTGAAGATGATTCTAATTTACTGGCAAAGGTAACCGCAGAGCAAGTAGAGCTCTATTAAAATAACAGCTCAAAGGCATTTTGTGACTAAATGTCTGAATGCAAAACTGCCACATGGTTAAATCATTTAATGAAACTGTTTATTACCCTACATTTAATGCTTTGAAGATGCTGCTGCTGTTAGGATTTTGGGACTTGCACATCAAGGCTGGAGTTGAAAGGAGACTGCTAAGCAAAGATCTCTGATGTCAATTCATACCTAATACCCAAATGTTCCTCTCACCTGAGTTTTGTGTGTTTACTGGCTTGTACCTGGGTGCTTGCTGGCTCTTTCATTTGCGTGTCCCAGACAGTTATTTAATGAAAGAGACATGTGACTTTAAACGATTTTTCCATCCCGTTAAGACTCAATCCTGCAAAATGCGGTTTACCCTTCACCTCTGATGAGTCCATTGGGAACTTCATATGCTGTGCATATGTTGCACAGCATGTATGTCTCTTCTTCCTTACCTGCTTTGCTGACTTGCTGTCAGGACAACATCTCATCACAATCTCAGTTCTCCTTCCCTATCCAAACCATCTTAACTTCTCACTTGCTTTTTCCTCTGCCTCCAGGAAGCACCCTCTTCTCAGGACATCCTGGTGTTTCTGACTGGTCAGGAAGAAATTGAAGCAATGACCAAAACCTGTCGAGACATTGCCAAGCATCTCCCTGATGGCTGCCCGCAGATGGTGGTGATGCCTCTTTATGCTTCTCTGCCCTACTCTCAACAACTCCGCGTCTTTCAGGCTGCCCCCAAGGTGAGGCAATATGATGGGTAAACAGGATGAGTTTGTCTGTTTGCTTGCATGAGTGTTTGGAAGAAACGTGGAATTTAAGGGGTTAAAGTGGTCTGTACTTACAGTAAGTAATAGTTTCGACTGTCTACTGACTTTAAGCTGAATGATTCTAGTGTGATATAAGACGATGCAACTGGGATGGTATTAACAGATACATATGATAAGTCATCTGGGGATCATAAAAAGAAGGAAGGATTAGGGGGAGTGAAAAGGGCAGAGGAATTGAAATTTGCCCCATTTCATAGGAATTTTATGTCCGTATCACAAAAAAGCTACAGCGGTTAATGGGCCAGCCAAATACTAAGAAAGCTAAAAACCTGGGCATATTTGGCAGGGCCACAAGAAAAGGAAATTGTTCTGCCTCAGGCCCTTTTGTACCTATTCAGCAGATAAACAGGGATTCAGGTCTTGTGCTTGTGCCAGAAATGAAATCAAAATGGTTTAAAGACATATTGATAACAGCTGTCCTGGGTGGTGTATTTTGTTGCAAGAAGTGTAAGCACATGCTTTAGAAACTGATTAGGAACTAGAGATTATCGTAATTTACGAGAGCTGGCATAGGAAACATGGTATGTGGTCATGGCATGCTGCAACGATATGTAGGCTTGGCCCACGCTGGTCAAAAGTAGTAGCGTTTCTTCATCGCAGCTAATCTAAAATGGCTTTTTACTGGCTTTAGTTTGCTCTTCCTTTCAGGGCTGTCGCAAAGTGATCCTCTCCACCAACATCGCAGAAACCTCCATCACCATTGCGGGAATAAAATACGTTGTCGACACAGGCATGGTCAAAGCAAAGAAGTACAGCCCTGGTGAGGAATTCTAAGGAACGATGCAGAGATTGTTTTAAGTTTTATAGAAGTTATTTGAGGCAATGAGCCCCACTGAGAGCTGATTTAAAACACCTTCTGCACTGTCTAAATTAATGTCCTAGGTTTTAGGTGTGGGTTTTGAGGTGGGTTTGGGTTTTTTTGAGTACCAGCAATGCAGCTGTAAAAATCTGTCAAACGAATCTTCTCTTTATGGACACAGTGCATGATAATTACCTTTGCTTGAGGGTGCTAAACCAAGTGAAGTCTGAGCAGTATTTGGATGGTAGACCCTGGGATTTCTTTGTTGTTAATCCTACGAAGTTATGTTTTTTTCAAAGCTGTGTGTTATGCAGACATTGACTGAAGTGATGCTTTTCCATACATAGAAATTGGTCTGGAAGTGTTGGCAGTTCAGCGGGTGTCGAAGGCCCAGGCTTGGCAACGAACAGGGAGAGCAGGGCGAGAGGACAGTGGGATCTGTTACCGGCTCTACACAGAGGATGAGTTTGAGAAGTTTGACAAAATGACAATACCCGAGATACAGAGGTGAGAAGAGAACCCTGATACCGTCACACTTCTTGACACACCTCTTTTAGGTACCGTTACAGACGGAGCTGCGTAAAGAACTGAACAGCAAAACTGGATCTAGGGTCTGACCGGTTGACTTTTAAGAAAAATGAACTCTGGAGACTAAACAGAAAACGTAGGAAGCATTTGCTCAGGGTGGACATTTGGGCTCTGAGTCTCCAAACATTCATGGGCAATAGTTCTCTTGACTTTCCTCCAAATCTTGGACCCGCCTCCTACCCTTCGTGGTTTAGGAGGTAAGGCTTCACCAGCCAGCATTGGACTAGTCTCTGTCAAGTTGCAGCTCAGATCTGAGGACTCCATCTCAGCTTATAGGCAAATAAAAGAAAAAAAAAAAATAAGAAAAAAAAAGAGGAGAACAATCTCAGTTGTTTTTTCTGCCTATGCAGGTGTAATCTGGCCAGTGTGATGCTTCAGCTCCTGGCCCTGAGAATTCCCAATGTGCTCACCTTTGACTTCATGTCCAAACCGTCTCCTGGTAAGTGGTTACAAAGGCAGCCTTGGAAAAAATTGACAAATGAGTCACTGAGGAATTGCTTCAAAATAATGTCTTCAGGCCAGCCAGAGAAGATGGAGTATGGAAGGTCAGGGCTGTGAAAGGGGAGCTGTCTCTCTCTGCTGCATCTTCTCGTGGTGGTCCAGAAGTCTGATTCATTCACTGCTCATTGCTTTTGCTCAGCCTCATCAGAGCAGCCATGGTTATGGCAGAGAGCTCGGGAGTCCAGCTTCCAAACAGAGCAGGGAGCAGTTTTGAGTCATAAAGAACGTGAAGGTGGGCCTTAACTGCCAAGGAAAGCCGTAGAAAATCTCACGCGGCTTCTGCTCAAAGCTAGAGATGGCAGCTTTAGTTTTGCCTCTGTTTTTGCTACTTAAATTGGAAAAGGTGATTGTTCTACTGGATAGGGGGGATAAACTACAGTTTGGGGCACTAATTTCTCTAAACAGAAAGTACTTGTCCCTCTGGCCAGGGGAAAGAGGTAGTGATGGTACCAGCTGATCCTTCACATCCCTGCCAGTGTCGGCCAGGAGGCCGCACAGCCTGAAGCTTCTTGTTTTGACAGACGCTATTCAAGCAGCGATTGAGCAGCTGGACCTGCTGGGAGCTGTGGAACGAAAGGAAGATCAGCTTGTCCTAACCCCCTTGGGAAGGAAGATGGCAGCCTTTCCACTGGAACCAAAGTTCTCGAAAGTAAAAACTACAGAAAATTTAGCTAATTTTTATCTCACGTACTCTTCCCAGTACCACTGGCATTTCTCTTCCAAACTCCTTAAACAAGGTCTGGAACTTGGGGCGACTGCAGCTGTACGAGTATATTTGCAGTATGTTCATGAAGCACAGCTTTATTTCCAGGAGCTGTGCTGGTTTGCTTGTCATTTGTTGTTTAATTCAGGGAGATTTTTTAAAAGATAATGTCTTTCCTCTGGCACCTCTGAAGCTGAAACAAGGCTAATTCCCTTGCAATTTCTGGGATTGCTGGTAGCGCTGTTAAGCAGTTTCATGAAGTGTCTGATGCTGTAGTTGATTTTAGTTGCCATGTTTGTACTGTATATGAACTGGCCAGGCTCAGGAAAGAGCATGACATTGCTGTTAAAGGTGCTTGGTGGGCCCGTAAGAGGATTTACAGTTGTCTCTAGGCCCAAATGTTTATGAAATTGTCCTAAGCAATGCTTGGTAAAGTTCCTGGGCTGCTGGTGAGCAGAAAAGTCTGCCCATCTGAAGTGGATTTGGTCGACCAAAAATCAGTTTTGTTCTGTGACTTGCAGACCATCCTCCTGTCCCCCAAGTTCCACTGTACAGAAGAGATCCTGACCATCGTGTCGCTGTTATCAGTGGACAGTGTCCTCTACAATCCCCCCGCCCGGCGGGATGAAGTGCAATCCATCAGGAAGAAATTCATCTCCAGTGAGGGGGATCATCTTACCCTGCTCAGCGTGTACAGGGCCTTCAAAAATGTCAGTGGCAACAAGGTAGGATGCTCTGAGGACACCAGCGCTGTCCGGGCTCATGGTGGTGAGGAGCCTTTTTGGCATACAGCAAAGTGACATCTGCATCCTTCACGGTTGATGCGATGTGCATCCTTCCAAAGCAATGAGAAGAGAAGACTTACTCATCCTTTACAATTGGGTAATTGGAGAAAGCTGTTCAAGTGCCGAAGGTTCCCTCAGAAGGCTGTAGCAAAACTGATTATCAAAAGCTTCGCAGAATCATAGAATCGTTTAGGTCAGATTGTTTAAGATCATGGAGTCCACCTGTAAACCTAACACTGCCAAGTCCACCACTAAACCATGTCCCTAAGCACCACATCTACACGTCTTTTAAATACCCCCAGGGATGGGGACTCAACCACTTCCCTGGGCAGCCTGTTCCAATGCTTGACAACCCTTTTGGTGAAGAAATTTTTCCTAATTATCAAATCTAAACCTCCCCTGGCGCAACTTGAGGCCGTTTCCTCTTGTCCTATCACTTGTTACCTGGGAGAAGAGACCGACACCCACCTCGCTACAACCTCCTTTCAGGTAGTTGTAGAGAGCGATGAGGTCTCCCCTCAGCCTCCTCTTCTCCAGGCTAAACAACCCCAGTTCCCTCAGCCATGAGGCCAGTTCTGTAATCGGAGCCAGGTATTTTCCTTCCCTGGTTCCAGCTGGAAACAGGAGGGAGTGGGAGAGTGTTGAGACTTGCTGATAAATACCCTAGACATGCTGTTTGGCAGGATTCATTGCAAAAACACTGAGTGTACTTACAAGCAGATTTTGATTTATCCTACCCTATAAACTCCTCAGTTTGATTTGTAGATCTGTAGACTCGTGTACCCCATTCCTTGCAGCATCTGTCATTCTTACATAATTTGTTTTCACCACCTGTGGGATAGCAAGTGCTGTTTCGCAGCACTCGGTGACCTTGCAGAGTGGGAAGAGAACAACAGCATGCTGTATCTTGGCGCTGTGGGAGGGAACGTAGACAGAAGAGAGTAATTAGGGGTAGAAACATGACAAGGAAGTGGGTTAGCTCCTTTTCTTCGAGAAAGATTGTGTGTTTGGAGGATTCTGCTTTTCACGATATCCAAAGACTGTCGTGCTTCTTGGGCGAAGAAACGGCCCTTTCTAACTCCTGGTGTCTCCACTGCAGGAATGGTGCAAAGAGAACTTTGTCAATGGCAGGAACATGATGCTTGTGTCGGATGTCAGAGCTCAGCTCAGGGACATTTGTGTGAAGGTAACTTGTTGCCATACTGTATTTCTTTGTTTCACCTGTTTCTATTTTTCTGTTTGTCCCCAAACTGATTTCACTGCGCACCAAGTCCCAGGAGTGAGAAAATGCGGTTTTGTTTTCAGTCTCCCATGAATAGTCAGGTAAAATTCCTGACTCTGCAGCTGCATCCCAAAACCTCAGAGCTGCAGGGCTCAGTGGGTCGAGGAGAGGTGAAGAGAGAAGGGGAGCTCTGGGAAGGCTTCTCGGGTAGAGGACAGTTTTTTTCCTAAGGGATTTGGCTGCTCTAGTGTAGATGTGACTGTGCTATGTGCACCGCTGATGGATGTCAGCCTCAGGCTGGCTTCTCACGGAGTCAGGCATTCAATTTAACAGCAGCTTTCACATCAGCACTGTTCCTGCCAGTCTCAGAGCGTAAGGCGCAGTGTGGGAGCTGCTGCTGAATTGCTTGCAGTCTGTACGTGACATGGGAGCTGTAGATGTGACTGTGCTATGTGCACCGCTGATGGATGTCAGCCTCAGCAGCCCACGCTGGCTGGCTTCTTCACGGAGTCAGGCATTCAATTTAACAGCAGCTTTCACATCAGCACTGTTCCTGCCAGTCTCAGAGCGTAAGGCGCAGTGTGGGAGCTGCTGCTGAATTGCTTGCAGTCTGTACGTGACATGGGAGCCACCGTTTGGCACCCCTGTCCCACTGCGAATGCTAGTTGGCCTAAAACTCTCTCCCAGAAGGAGAGTCTCGATCTATTTTGCGGCTCATCTTTTGTTTGCTATTAATCTGGATTAGCCCAACATCTACCTGAGCTGAATTCCTAGCGGTCCTTTTAAATTTCCCACGCTAGCAGGATTTCTGACACAATATTGCCTGACCTTGGAAGCCCACTAAAACGGGGCTGTGTTTCCCCACGAGGGTGCACATACATGCTTGCCTACTCTTGTGTCTCTTGCTGCTGCACAGCTGTCGATGCCAATCGAGTCCTCCCGCTCAGACACCGGAAACATCCGCCGCTGCCTGGCTCACAGCCTCTTCATGAACGCCGCGGAGCTGCAGCCGGACGGCACCTACAGCACCGTGGACTCTCACCAGTTGGTGGCCATCCACCCCTCCTCCGTGCTCTTCCACTGCAAGCCAGCCTGCGTGGTTTACAACGGGCTGCTTCGCACCAACAAGTGCTACATGCGGGACCTGTGCGTGGTGGATGCGGACTGGCTGTATGATGCAGCGCCTGACTATTTCCGCAGGAAGCTCCGAACGGCCAAGAACTGACCTGTGGGTCTGGGACCGACAGGTCCAGGGTTTTTAGGCTCACCCTAAACGACTTATTTTTTTTGTTTTGTAATGAATGTACAGGAGCGGTAGAGCTTTGCCTTGCAAATCAGGTAAAAACCTAGAGGAAAATGGCTTCTCCATGAGAGCTGGAACTCACAAGTCTCCGTGGCTTAGAACAGTCATCCTTTTTAACAATTAACCTGTAAAAGGGGAATGTAGTATGTACTCTGTGCGCGTGTGTATGTGTGTGTGATAAATCTATACTGGGGGGGAGGAAGGGGAGCTGGTATCAGATTCCAGTTTTTAACACTTACTGAAGTTTAACAGGCTTGTATATGAGGAGATGAAATCCTGAGAGCTCTTCTGAGCAAACTTGGTATTTTCGATGATTGTGCTTGTATCTTTAGCAAGTTTTATTGGGAAAAAAGGAGAAAAGAGTTTTAAATGTCTACATACAGGGAAAAAAATGCCTTTTTTTACTATTTCTAGAAGGGAGGTGCTACTGTCTTTTACCTCATCAAACATCTTTCTGCCTGCATGTCATGTTCACCGTCTTATTTGGGACCATACGAAGGCCAGTAATGGGAATGCCTGCTTGGACCAGGTCTTCACTGCTTGCGTCTGAGCCTCAGGGGCTGGCAGTGGTTTCTTGGAGAGGTTGTCCAGCTGCCTGCGTGTTTGGCGTCATCTTTGTTCACCCTTTTGCTGTTAGGGCGTGTTGTTCCTCAGCAAATACTTCTGGCTTTTCTGACTCTTCTCCGTGTATTTCTGGCTTTGGAGTTGGCACACCATCTGTAACGGCTAATCAGGCCAACTTGAGGAAGACTCAGCAAAATGAGAATGAAGATGTGGTTTGGAGATTGGACTTCCTTTAAAGGTCCTCGATTCATCAAATGTTTGCGTCTTGTGCTCTGACACCAGTGCTTCTTCCCCCTTCTGCCTCCCCCAGCCCTGTCCCAGTTATACTTTGGTTTTCCATTAGAAGTTTGGAGCTTGACATTGTCAAGAGCCACAGCTCTACCATTAGTATCTATTATTTGTTTTTTCTTCCGTATTCCCTTGGCATCTGTCTTATCCATCTCTTTCTTCCCCTGTTGGAGAAAAGTGGCAATAACAAACTTAATCGTCTTTTTAAATACTGGAATTAAGAAACTAGTGCCACTCCAAAGGGAAAACTTGTTCTTTAATGTGAAGGAAAGTGGATTTATTCCATTATCACTGTGTGTTGGTCGGGGGGAGAATGTAAGTTGTTTTTAAATGATATCCTAAGTACTTCTAAAATAACCTCTCTGGGAGAGGTAACTTCCAGTTTCAACAGAGTCTGTTGACATAGTGTAGTAATTTATACAGATTTTTGGATGAGTTGAACTAAAGCAGGTTAGGTGTCTGAAAGGGAGGGAGAGGAAGCTGTTCTGCACGTGCGGTGTCATTGTGTGATATACATGGGCTGTGATGGGACTGGGGGGGTTAGTCCTTGTATCCTTCAAATAGCAACTTTAAAAAAAAAAAGCTTATAACACATTAATGGGGCCGCTCGCTATTGGCAAGCCCTTGTTCACTCCGTTTGCTCGGGGAAAGCTGCTGGCTTTGCTTGTCATCTGTGGGGACGAGCTGCACTTGCCACATAATAATTTGTCCTTTCTGGTTACACACATCACGGTTAACGCATTGTAATGTGCCTTTTCTTTGGGCTCCAGTGTTGGCTTACCTTGGTTTTATCTTTGAAAACTGAGGCAAATACCTCTTTTATTCTTTTTTCTTATATATATATCTCTCTCTCTCTCTATCTATATATCTATATATATATCTTTTTTTTTAATTGCAACGTCACTTGTGCTGATCTGTGTCTCCCAAAGAGTGTAAGTAGGTACCTGGTGTACCTGGAACGGTCTCATCTCTCAGCCTGTTCCTAGGAAGGGTGATACTGAATGTCTGCAGGGGCGCAGTGGAAACGGACACACATCCCTTTGTTGTGCCTCTTTGCAAAAAATACTGTTCTTTGGTGGTTTGAAAAAAAAAGAAGAAAAAAGAGTGGTGAGTGGGGCACGGGCAAAACTTGCCAGTTTTGTATGTATGACCAGCTGCAGTTTTGGATTGGTATTTCAAGAGTATGCAGCTATTTCAATTGTTCTCACTCGCACGAATTGCAGGGAATTATCAAAGCACTGTATCTGTCTATTTCTTGGTTTTACAGACTCTGCATCTGTAGGGGAAAATGGGAGTATAAGCACATTTTGTTTGGGCAGTCTAATTTAACAGTCTAAGGGAGGGGATGGGTGTTTATTTAGAAGTAATTTGTATATTTTTCTCAAAATAAAGAAGTGATGGCAAAAATCCAAGTCCTGGGTGTTGTTTTGTGAGACACGAAAGCTGTGTGGATGGAAGAAACGACGGTTTCTGCCGGAAGAAGAGGAGGAAAGGAAGTCAGGTACAAGTCCCAGCGTTCTCAGTTCTTGTGGGAGCGTCTTCATTTTACGCAGGCTGGGGTGTCTGTGTGCAGATGTTAAAAGAGAGGCTGGTGTGGTGGGATGTTATGGTGGGGCGGTGAATCTGTGCTTCCCGTTGCAGAACGGCCCCGTCATTACGTGTGCGGTGCTCGAACACCAGCGTGGAGCTGGGAGTAAAAATCCCGCTCCTTCGATGCGATGCGGTGATATCGATGCGATGGGGTGCTAGCGATGCTCTCCTGCTACAGCCTTGCCGTGAGCAGCAATAGTGCTAGCTTTTAGGCAAAGGGAACGCTTTATGCCAGGAAACGGTTTGCCTTGGTCAATCTTCCCTCTAAAATATTTACTGCCAAAGGAGGAAAAAAAAAAAACCAAAAATTACTTATTCTGAGTAAACTGCTGAGGTGTTGCCAGGAAGCTGGCTATTCTGGTGAAGAGTGGGGCGATGTGCGGGAGTAAAGCTTTCACCACATAAGCTGCTTTTTCTCGTTGCAGTCAAGAGGGAAGCACCAGCGTTTTTTCCACATCCCTAAAGCTTCCTCTGCGCCTTCACCGGTGCCCCAGCCTCATCCGAGCGCC